CATTCCACTGCCAAGCCCAGTCATCTTTCTAGAGCAGTGTCCAGAGATCTCCAGGTGTCCTGTTATCCTAGACACCAAACACCCTCTGGGGTGAGAACTGGTAAAATCAGAACAGTTTGCCCTGCAGTTTTCAGTCTGGGTGCTAGGAACCTGTTCATCTTCACTCCTTATGCACACACTGCGAGGTCAGCACTGTTAATCTTTCAGGTCAGAGGTCACAGATGCAATGCCATCAGAATCAGCATTCAAACCTCCATCTGCCAAGGTCAAAAGCCTGCATTGTTCTCATCCACTCCAAATCTCTCAAGTGAAACACCTCCTAGTGATTATTCTTTACTCAATTAAGACAATATTTTGAAGAGAAAAATTATTTATGAGTCAAAGGAGTAAAGCCTTCATCAATAGTGGGTCTTTTAGGAAGAAGAGAAGAATTTTGTTAACATAGTTCTGACATCCTTCCTAGAAGCACACCGTCACTTTTTGGCACTCCTAGATCTCCTAGGATATATGTTTTACCTCAGCAAAACTACAAGGTATCTTCTTTTGAATATTAATAATAGTAATTTTCAGTTGGCCTCACACTTCACCTTAATGCTGAAAGCCTGTCTAATAGGAAAATACTGAGTCTCTTTTCCACAAATCCTGTAGGTGGCGCCTCTGCACTGGTTTCAGTGAAAGAATTCATCTTTAATCTTTCAGGAGTCCAATAGGCAGATACACATCATACTAGTATGTTCATTCTAAGTGAGAAAGAAAGAAGCATGGCCTGATCCTAGTGCCATCACCTAAAAATGCTCCTTTATTTTTTTTTTAACCCTGGCACCAGTTTTTATTAAGGAAGAAGGGGCTCAGAGTGTAAAGCCCCTCCCTATGATCAGCCCATGAGGCTGAAGTCACGGTAAGGTCAAGGTTATGAGGCTAGGGTAGGCCTACAGATTTACAAAGTATTATTGGGTCCACCTGCCCCCAGGATATGTTTCTTTTTCAAAGTATTTTTATTAGCATACGTTAATTGTGGAGGAGAGTGGGGATTCATTGTGAAAATTCTGAATATGTCCTCCATTCACCCTCCCCCTGCCCAAAGGACCTATTTTACAGACCTGTCCTTCATTTTTAATTCCAAAGTCAGTGCTCAAGGGGGTTTCTCAGTGTATCTCAGCTGTGAAAATACTGTACTTTGGTCAATTTTGTCTCCTTTTTTACTTTCCCTCCTATCCCTATTATTCAACAGCTTTCAGTACCTATCATTATGTCATCTACCTGCACAGATTTCCATATTGTTGACTATCATTCTCTTTTCCTTTCCCTCCTCCCCAGATTTTCATAGACTAGTTCCACTATTTCAATCAAGTTCTATATATGAATGTGTATATGATCCTGTTTGTTTTGTGTATATGTTTAGCTCTTGGATCTATCTTCCACATATGAGAGAAAATATGCAGCCTTTCTCTTTCTGAACTTGGCTTACTTCACTTAACATGATGTCCACCATTTACCTGCAAAAAACAATACTGCATTTTTCTTTATGGCTAAGTAGTACTCCATTGTGTGTGTGTGTGTGTGTGTGTATATATATATATATCACATTTTTTAAGGATTTATTTTAGTGTAACAGGTTGAAGTATGGAAAAGGGGAAGGGGGGAAGAGAGAAAAACATTTCCTGCTTCCCATGAAGGAACTGGGAGCAAAGAATTCATACCACATTTTCTTAATCCTTTCATCAGTTGTGGGGCATCTTGGCTGTTTCCATAGCTTGGCTGTTGTAAATCGTGCTGCAATGAACATGGGTGTGCAGCTGCCTCTAGTGTAGCCTGACTTACGTTCTTCGGGAATATCCTCAGGACTGTATCACTGGATCCTATACTAGCTCTATTTTTAGTTTTGTAAGGAATCTGCATACTGTTCCATAGTGGCTATACTACGCAACATTCCCACCAACAGTGTATAAGGCTTGCTGTTTCACCATATCCACATTTGCTATGATTTGTGTTCTTAAAGATAGCCATTCTAACTATAGTCTTGATTTGCAATTTTTATGGCCATGGAAGTTGAGCACTTCTTCATGTATCTATGGCCATTTGCACCTCTTCCTTTGAAAATTGCCTATCACACTTGTCCATCCTTTCTCTTAATTGCTGAGCCATTGGACATCTACGTAGGAAGTGCTTTTTTCCTCCCAGCTAAATAATAATTTTATATAGTTACAATAGCATGCAGTCATTGTTTCTCCATCTTCTGTACTTCCCTGATCTGCCAGCCTCCTGTCAAACAGATGATGGGCAGAACTTGGAGCAATCGGGAAGCTATCTATGGTCAGGGACAGGAGCAAGGGCAGGGCAGCCTGAGGCATCCAAAGAGACTAAAACCAAGCAGCAGCTCACATAACAAGGCTGCAGTTTGGGAGAGTAGGCTCTCCTAACAGGTAGAGTTTACAGATAAAAGAGGGAGAAATGCAAGGGCATTGGGCTTGTATAATAAGAGCTAAGAGACCTGTGGTAAATTCACAGGGAAGGTGGTAGGCAAGGACACCTGGATGGAACTCAGCATAAGTCAGCCTTTCCTTTAGCTTCCATCTCCTGTCATTTCCTTTGCCTTAGGGTCAACGAACACAAAACTCAGAGGAGATCCTTTCATTCCTAATTCTAAACTGTTCCACAGTATCCCTGCTAGATTGACAATTCTAGCCATCTACTCTCCAATAAAACACTTCCACCAGCAAGGGGATCACTATTTCTTGGGAACAAGTTCCATTTACAAAACACCTGAATTTTTAGGGAATCCTTCCTTCAAAAAGTAGAAATCTGCTTTTCTGTAACTCCACCACACTGGTCTTATTTCTGCTCTCCAGTAAACATGATTATTCTTCATAGTTAATTTCTGTCAAGGCAGTAAGGGCCCCCTTAATTCCATTGATACTATCCATTCCAGACTATCCTGATCATAGTAGTCCCAGAGGGAATATGTTCCAAGACTCCCAGTGGATGGCTGGAACTACAGATGGTACCAGTCTCTATGGAGCCTATGTTTCTTCCTATACATACATATCTGTGGTAAAGTTTTGCATAGTTCAAGCGGTATAGCACCTACCTAGCAAGCACAAATCCTTGAGTTCAAAGCCCAGTACCACTACAAAAAAAAAAAAAAAAAAAGCCAGGCACTGGTTGTTTACACTCCTAATCCTAGCTACTTGGGAGGCTGAGATTGGCAGGATTGAGGTTCTATGCCAATGTGGGCAAACAATTGGAAAGAATGATAGAGGGATGAATTTAACTAAGATATACTGTAAGCAGTTTTGTAAGTGTCACAGTATACACCCAGTACAACTATAATATGATAATAAAAGTTTTTTTTTAAAGATTGGAAATGTGAAGTAGTGAAAGGTGGGTAGAAGCAACTTATTCACCAATCAGTTGATGGAAGAATAAACAAAAATAGGGCTGGTGGAGTAGCTCAAGGTGAAGACCTAAGTTCAAGTCCCAGTACCACACACACACACACACAAAGGAATGAAATGCTAATGCATGCTGCAATGTAGGTATAGGTAAACCTCAGAAACATCTCACTAAGTGAAAGCAGCCCATCTTGAAAGGTGGCATATCTCATGATTCCAAAATTTATATGAAATGCTCAGAATGTTCAAGTCCACAGAGACTGAAAATAGATTAGTGGCTGCCAAGGGTTGGAAGGAGGGAATCAATTAATCAAGCACTTAATTAGTATAGGATTTCTTTCAAAGGTGATGAAACATTTTGGAAAATGTTGGGAAGTATCGTATAACCAGTGGTGATGGTTATACAATACATACTGTTCTAAAATGTCGTTGAACTGTGTACTTTAAGACTGTTAAAATGGCAAATTTTATGTTATGTGAGTTTTCCACAGTAAAAAAGTAATCAACTTATTTTGGGGAAAAACACAATTATTAGAGTAAATGTACAACTCCAAAGTCATAATGGGATTTAAAAAAAACATTCATTGATTGATACATCAAACAAACAGCAAGCAGAAAGATGAATACCAGAAAGATACAATTTCTGACCAGTGGACAGAAACTTTGTTCTATACAGAACTTTGTATTTGCTTTTTGGGACACATAGAATATTTACAAAAGTTGACAAATCCCAATAAATATTTTAGGATATCAGTTATTGCCCATATTCTTATCACAATGTCAGTTCAAAATACTAATGAGAAAAGGTGATTTTTAAAATGAAATAGACAAACTGTCCAAATGATTCTTTTCCCCCAGACAGTGAGCTATAACTAGGAAAAGTGTGTCATGTCAGTATAGAAAGAATATGATTAGGTGGCAGATTTTGATTAATGGTGATTAAGTCTGGAATGGGGTTATGAGTGCAAATGCCATGGGTTGGCAGTAAAAAGGTGCAATTGTTCAAAACCTTTGGAGGATCCCAGGCTCTACAATACTGCCAGTTTTCTATCTTGGCTTTTTGTCGTTAGTCTTAAGGGCGCCAAATTCCTCAACGATTTCCATAAGCATGTGAGATGATTTGCTTACTTTCTTTGATCAGATTTCTCTCACTTATTCAACTATATTCAAACTGCGGTGTCCACGATTAGGTCTCGATTGTCAAGGAGCTTAGGAACCCCCTAAATTTAAAAATTAAAACGCTTCAATCAGTCAAGTCTGTGTCCTGATGGGCGATGTGGTGGAGAGGGGGCTTTTTCTCCGTATCCATCTGGGTGGAGAAGGTGTCGGGCTCCCACAGCCTCAAACCCGCCAAAGTGTCATCCAGCCACCACGCCTGCCTTTCCAGCTTACTCTCCAGGCTGCAGGAGCCTGACTGCAAAACCCCGGGGGCTCAGAGGCGGGGCCGGAGGAGAGCGCGCCGCAAAGCGCGTCCCCGATTGGCTGGAGCCGCGCCGCCCAATTGGCCACCGTCTTCAGGGCGGGAGCGGAGAGCCACGCCTTCCGGGGAGGGATCTCTGCTCGCCCCGCCCCTTCGCGGCGGCTGCTGTAGATTCGTAGCGCCTGAACGACGCGCGCGGAGCTCGACTGGCGCGGCCTGAGGCCGTATCCTCCGCCGCGCCTTCGCCAACGCTGCCGCGGGCCCGGTTCGCGAGGAAGGGGACTAGGCCGGGGCCTGCTGTGGCCGGGTCGCCGAGCGCCGAGGCTCGCTTCCCACCGCCCCTTCCGCCCCAGCTTCACCATCTTCCCGTCCCCAGCGGGCTGGGCGCGGGAAAGGCTTCCGGAGCCATGGAGGATGAGGTGGTTCGCATTGCCAAGAAGATGGACAAGATGGTGCAGAAGAAGAACGCGGTGAGTGCGGCTGGCGGGCGGGCCGGGAGGGAGGCCGGGCTGGGCCGCGGGGTTCCAGGGAGTCCCCCGGCGTGGAGTCGTCCGCGTGGGACCGGCTCCAGACGCGCGGGCGGGAGGGTGTCCCGGCCGAGGGCGCCGGGCCCCGCGGCCGCCGGCGTTGGGCTCCCGTCCTTCGAGGCCCCTGTCCTCCCTGCGGGTAGAGCCCGGTGAGCCTAACGGAGCTAGGAAGTAGGGCAGGGCCCCTCTGGGCTTTCAACTTTGATAGTAAAGACGCGCGAACGGACCCCGGGGCTCGGAGGGCGAAGAGGGCCTCCCTCGCTTGCACAGAAGACGCCGTGGGGCGGTCGCGGTCGGCGGCCGGGACGGGACGAGCGTCGCGCCGAGCTTGTGACGCGACCTCAGGACGGCAGCGTGGGAACGCGCCATCTCCGGCGTGAGAACGCCGTCCGTGCAGCCGCTTGCCGTCCCAGCCGCGCTGCCGGCTTGCTTAGCAGCGAAGAGTATTTCGAAATACACGTATAGGAGAGCAGCTAAAGGCCTTTTTAAATGCAGATCTTGTCGGTGGCGGAGTACAGAAGGGCCGCGATTAAAGACACTTGGTGTCGTGTCACCTATGTGCGCGCCCTGAGCCTGCTCTCCTGAGGTTTGGATGAGGTCCTCCTATGGCCCGGTTCTGCTTGTTTGTCTGTCCCCCGTGTGCCACTTTTCCATCCCTTTGCTCCGCACTCATCTGTTCTCCACTAAATTTCCAGGATTGTTTTCCTCTGAGTTTGTTACTCTGCGCTCAGCACATTTTCACTGTCAGAGTACCCGAAATAGTTTCTTAAGTAAGTCCATGAAATAAATTCCGTGTCAAGCTAATGTGGGAAAGAAAAGAGATGCTCCGATTTGCACTTTAGAGTTACCAACTGGTTTTGTATCTCATAACACAGCTACGGGCACCTCAGGTACGTCCGTTTTACAGATTAAGAGGCTGAATCAAAGATTAAGTACTGCTGTGTAAATCAAGTAATGTAGCTTTAAGTCAGGAACCAGCTTTTCTACTGGACTGTATGCTTCATCTCTGACAGACCAGGAACCAGTATTAACACTAAATATTTTAGTCTTCAGACATCCCCTGTTCCTCTTTTCCTCAACAGGTGCATTGCCCAGCATTTAATTTCATGCCCTGTTAATCCATATTTGCAATTTGGGCCTTTTAAAGTATTTCCTGTTTGTTTTCTGTTTCCAGATATTAACCTGTGCCACTCATTTTTCTTACTAGTTGGGTCCTTTCCCCAGTGCAAGTGATGACTTCTGGTTTTCTGTTAGGTTGAACATTTCTGTTACTTTAATTAAATTGGGAAATTTTTCTCACTGCCTGAAGAAGCACCCAGGGATAAAAGCCGTTTGTTGGGAACATCTTCTCTCTAACTTCATCTGGGAAAGAATAAGGATAAATTCCAGGAAATTCTCAAGTCTAATTTTTCATCTCAACTCTTTTAAGTTTTTTAATAGTTCAAAATTTTATAAATATGAAAACTTACTCCCAAAATGAAAGGCAAAATTGGGTCATTTACAGCTCTCCCCCCCATGCTTTTGAAATTTAAACAGGCTGATGAAATAAAGAGAAAGTTCAGATGACACTCCTTCCCTTTCCCCAAAGAACGTAATCAGCTCAGGAATAGCTTTCTAATATTCAGTAAATTAATAGAAGTTAGTTGGGGGGGGGGTTTGTAGGGTTATGGTAAACTTTGCTTCTCTTTTTTTCAGTGGTTTTAGATTTTTCTCTCAGGAGTCTCTTCACCCCCCCCCCTTTTGTGACACAGGGTCTAGTTACTTAGCCCAAATTGGCCTCAAACTACTGGACTCCTATGATCATCCTCCTGTTGCAGCCTCTTAAATGCTTGGAGGGATGATGCACCATGCCCAGTAGGTGAGGTTTTTGTTGATTTCTGGCAGTACTGGGGGTTGAATTCAGGGCGTTGCACTTGCTAGGCAGGCATGCTACAACTGTCACGTTTGAATGCTGTTATTGGATAGCATTGTTTTAATAACATCATAGATGTCACAAATAAAAAGAGCTACAATTTATTGAGCTGTTACTCTGAGCCTAGTATTCTGCTAAGTATCAGTACTTTCTGTTTTTTCTTAGTTATTGCTCAGACATCTATTCAAGATAAATATTATGCCCATCCTAAAAATGAGAATTAAAAAAGTTGAAACTCCCATGAGAACTAATATGTACTTTGTGTCTGTATCTTTGGAAATTTCATATCAATGAAATCATACAATTTGTGATCTTTTATGACTGGTTTCTTTCACTTAGCACAATGTTTTGTTTTGAGACAGGGTTTCACTGTGTTGCCCAGCCTAACCCTAGAACTCCTGATCTTCCTGCCTCAGCCATCTGAGTAGCTGGTTTCTTGGGCTCATGTTACTGCCTCTGGCTTAGTATAATGTTTAGGGTTTCCCCACCCACACACACATTTTTTACTTTATTTTACTTTAATTTGGTGGCACTGCGGTTTGAAATCAGGGCTTTGCATTTAAAAGCGGGAGCTCTACTGCTCAAGTCCATTTTGCTCTGGTTATTTTGGAGATAGTATCTTAGTAAACAGTTTGCCAGGGTTTTCCTCAAACCTTGATCCTCCGGGTCTCAGCTCCCTGAGTAGTTAGGATTTACAAACATGAGCCTCCAGTGCCCAGCTCCATGGTATTAGTGCATATTAATTGTACAAATACAGGGTGTGTGTTTCATTGTGATATTTCCATATTTAGTACAGTGTTTTAAAGGCCAATTGGTGTTATCCTGTCTCAGCACCTCATTCCTTTTTGTTGCTGAATAGTCCAGCCCACTGTACCTGGACCACATTGTTTTTTGCATCCTTTCATGTATCTTTGGGCTATATCAGTAATGCTGAGAGCATTCTTGTACCTGTGTTTTTGTGGACATAAGTTTTCATTTCTGTTGGGTATATGCCTAAGAGTAGAGTAAAGTGTGATAACTATGTAAAACCTTTTTTTTTTTTCTTTTTAATTTGCTAGACTGGTGATAGAACCCAGGGCCTTGTGCATGCTAGGCAAGCACTCTACCATTGAGCTACATTCCCAGCCCTATTTAACCTGTCAATGAATTACCCCATTCCCCTCCTCCTAAAAGATCTGTTGCTTCCCCAAGGGACTGCACCATTTTGCATTCCCACCAGCAGTGTATGAGGGCTTCATTTTCACCACATCTTTCCAACACTTGTTATTACCTTTTTGATTATAGCCTTCCTAGTAAGTATAAAGTGGTATCTCATGGTTTTGATTTGTATTCACATTTCTCATAACACTAACAATACTGGACATATTTTCATTGTTGACCATTTGTGTATCTTTTGGAGAAATGTCCATTCAGATCCTCCCTTTTTTTCTGGTGAATGCTTGGATCCAGTCCAGGGCCTCATGCATGCTAGGCAAGTGGTCTATCTCTGAGTTACATCCATAGACCTGCCCACTTTTTAGTTGGGTTGTCTTTTTCTTAGTGAGAGGTAAGAATTCTTTAGGTAATTTGCTTTTTGTTGTTAGTTTACTTTTGAGCCAGGGTCTTGATATATAGCTGAGATTAGTCTGGAGCTTCTTATATAACCCAAGTTAGCTTCAAACTTCTGATCTTACTACCACCATCTTCCAAATAACTGGGATTACATGTTTGTACCACCATGCCAAGCTAGTGTTCTCCTTTTTAAAAAATAAATAACATCAAGCCATGGTGGCACACACTTATAATCTCAGCACTTAAGGCTGAGGCAGGAGGATGTTGAGTTCCAGGCTAAACTTGATTGAGACCCTGTCTGAAAAGAAGTCATAATTTTGAGTATCTAAAACCATAGATGTTACACTTAAATAGAAACACCCACCATTCGTTGAATTATTACTTTGAGCCCAGTATTCTGCTAAGTACAATACATAACTTTTAATAAGTACGTAATTTTTAACCTTGCAGTCTCTTAATAAATACTATGTAGAAGTGTGTGAATCTGTTGATCTTAAGTATATCCACTGAACATGCTGCCGTAAGGCTCTTTGAGAATATTGTTAATGGTGTAAATAAATAATTTGTTGTTTTCGTATTTTTGTCAACTGTTTCTTCTGTGGTAGGCCTTTGTTTTTCCTTTGTTTGTGGTACTAGGGATTGAACTCAGGCTCACTCATGCTAGACAAGCGCTTTGTCACTTGAGCCATACCTTCAGCTCTTGTGTTTTGTATTTTGTTTTTGAGGTAGTGACTAGTGTCACTTTTGTCTGGTCTAGCCTTTGAATTCAAAATCCTATTGCCTCCCCCTCTGAGGAGCTGAGAATACAGGCAGGTACCACCATACCTGGCTCCTTTCCTTTGTTTTGATACTTCATCTGTATTATTGTATTTGACCGTTTCACCTATTCTTCAAGGTCAATGAATTATGCTCACCTATATATATAAGAAACTTGAAAAGGACAAGGAACATTATCAAGGTCTTACAATTAGGAAATGACAAGAGCATGGATTTGGGTGTAGATCTGTCAGACATATAGCCCATGTAAATCCTCTGTGACTCCCTCCTGTTTGCATTTGCTTGAAGAGAGGGATGATTGCATACTTACAGTCTTACATATACCAGGCACTCAGTACAAATTGGAATATCACCATTTGTAAAGCACTTATTTTTGTTAAACAGATAGGAGTACCAACAATGTAATAAAGTAGTGTGATAGCTATAGTTTATTTTTCAGCCAGTACCACTAATGAAATAGGACTTTAGAAGTTAGAGTCGAGTCTTTCTTTCGCTTGCATCATTATCCGTGGCAGATGCTGCAATGTAATGGACTTGACATTTGGAGGTAGGTGATCGGGAAGGGATAGAATGCAGCTTCTTGCTTAGTATTGCTATTTACCTGAGTTCACAGAGCAGAACTGCCCCTGGTGGACTACTAGATGCAAGGAGCAGTTGCTTAAGGATTAGGAGACTGCAGTTCTTTTTTGTTTTGTTTTGTGGTACTGAGGATTGAACACCAGGCCTTGCTGCACAAGTGCTCCACTACATTGAGCCTTATCTCTGACCTCTGCACTTCTTGTCCTTCCTGTTATACTACTCCTTGGTATGACCTTGAGCAAGTCAGTTTCCATTTCTTGGTTTAAGTTTCTTTGTCTAACTGAGGGTTTGATATAGATACTCAAAGATTTCTGTTTGTTTTTAAATTCCGTGGGGCTGTTTGTGTGGCTCATTTTTAGAGCACTAGCTTAGCTTAGCCTGCGTGAGGTACGGGGTTCAGTCCTCAGCACCAAAGGTAAATTCTGTAAAGTAAGAGGGGTTTCTGTCTTGCTCACTGCTGTATCCTTAGCACAGAACATAGCTTAGTACATAGAGTTAAGAGTGTTTGTTGAGCTAGGTGCTGGTGACACACGTACAACTGTAATCCTCGCTACTTAGGAGGTGGAGATCAGGAGGATCACAGTTCAAAGCCAGCCCTGGGCAAATAGTTCAGGAGACCCTAACTCAAAAACACCCTTCACAAAAAGAGCTGAGAGAGTAGCTCAAGTAGTAAGAACTCCTGCCTAGCAAGCATGAGGCCCTGAGTTCAGTCCCCAGTGCCACTAAAAAAAAAGTATTTTTGAGAGGCAATGGAGTGTAATTTGACAGAATGGGATAAATCCAACCTTTTCTATTTAATAATCCTATGACCTTTTGAAGTTTCCAAACATATCTCGGCCTTGATGTCCTTATTTCTAAAATGGAGATACTAGATTCCCATGTGCGTTTATTGTGAAGGTAGGATGAGGTAATATATGTAAAGTATTTAACACATTATCTAACACACAGTAAAACTCAAAGACAGGTGTCACTGAATTAATTTATACTCATCTGCTTTTTGCTCCTTTCATGCATTCAGATCATCGTAGTTTATTTCTATTTTTTTTTGGTGGTCCTGAGCTTTGAACTCAGGACCTTGAACTTGCTAGGCAGGCGCTCTACCACTTGAAACACACTCAGCCCACAGTTTATTTCTTAAAGAACCTTGAGTGAAATACTTACCTGAGTTGGTTAGAGTATAGAGAATGGTCGTGGTAGTTTTATCTCATGAGTGTTATTTAACTTTTTTTCCTGCCATGCTATATCTCTAAATTCAATTTTTTCAAAGAGGTCTGAGTAGAAAGGAAGTATAATGAAAATCTATTTCTTCTACTTGGAAACCAAGTTAAACCATATGTCACATTGCTGGTGTATTAGAAGAACCAACTTTATATGTGACAGATGGCATTGTGTAAGCTTTAAGAAAGAACTGTTTTTGTTTTTTTTAAGGAACTGTAAGTGTTGTTCTTTTTCTTTGTAATTGATGTTCGGTCAGATATGGATCTGAAAGTCCATAGTAGAAGAAAAGTGCCCATGGTAGATACCGTTCTACAATCTATTAATCAAAACTTTTGCAGTCTGAAATATTTAGTAACTCCAAATTTCTCAGGTTTTATCAAGATGATGTGGTAAGCATCATCTATTATGTAATACCCAAGTGGGATCAGGCCAGTTCCTAGTAATCAGATCCTAATATTTCTCTTCTTTTTTCATGGTGTACAGTCATTTTTAAAATTATTTCAGTAGTCATTAATAGTACAAAGGAGTCATGTCGTGAAAATTTCAATATGCATACAGTGTACTTTGAACAAGTTTATCCCCTCCATAAATACTAACATTTTTATAATGAAATGCAGTGCTCTTACATTAAGTGGGATAAATATAACATGAAGAACTTTACATCTGTTGAGATTGGGTGTTTGCTGCCAAATGAGTTTATTAAAAACCTGTCAGAGGGTCTGGAGGCGTGGCTTAATAGTAGAGTGCCTGCTTAGCAAGTGTGAAGCCCTGAGCTCAAACTTCAGTACCACCTCACACACAGGGACAAAAATCTGTGACAAACCTATAAATTTTGATTTTTAATGGCTTTGGGGTTTTGAAGATCTCATTTGCTCCAAAAAAAAGTAATGCTGTAGGAATCTTTGTTTTATAAATTTTGTCAGTGTTAGTTTTTCTGTAACAAGATTTCACTGTTTTTAGTTGCCTCTTGATAAAAAGAATTTATTGAATTGTGATAATAAAAAGATTCTGGAAAGCTGGCGTGCTGTCTCAAGCCTGAAATCCTAGCTACAGTGGGGAGTGGAGTATGGAAACATCCCACTTAGAGACCGGCCTGAACAAAAACCTTTGTGTGACCCCCATCTCAACCAACGGCTGGGTGTGGTGGGGAAGCACACCTGTCATCATGGCTGTGTGGGGAAGCACAGACAGGAAGATCACAATCTAGGCTGACCTACACATGTAGTGAGACCCTGTCTCAAAAATGATGAATGAAGGAAATGGCTGGCAGAGTGGATCAAGTAATATAGTACCTGCCTGCAAGGAAGGGAAGGAGGAAGAAAAAATCTGTATGCTACAAATTAGTAAAATCCTTTATAATAACCTGTTTCATAGTTCCTCTGGGACTTGAATTTTTGCTTACGAGGTACTGGGTTAAATTTAAATGATCTGTATTTATGTTGCCAAGGCCAGATGTAATATGAGTCAGTTTCAAATGGAAACATATAAGTGGATGTTTTTTCTTGGTAAAAAATACAGTACCATGAAAGTCCTCACTTGCTTCTTCCTTTAGGATGCATAGTGAGGGATATTCTCTGTGATATGCTGTATTTCACTGATTAGGGTGCCTAGTTTTTATATTCTAATATTTTGGAAAGCAGGATGAGTTATGTATATCGTTGGCCAGATGACTATTGCAGTAAATTTTCACAAGCATGATGTCAAACCCTACATCAAAACTTTCAGAGTGGCTGTCATTGGCTTGGAAGAAATTCTGAGACATTAATGGAGTACTCTTGAATCTCGAGGAAGTAAGTGGGGATGAAAAATAGCTCTGTAGATTATAAATTCAATGTGGCATTAGCTCTTTTAAGGATACTTTTATGCAGGTATTTTTTTTCTTTTTTTGAGACAGGGTGGCCTTGAGCTTGCAATCATCTAGCCTCGGTGCTGGAATTATACTATACCACCATGTCTGGCTTGTTCTTGATACAGCTCTTCGTGGGGGTAAAAATGGATATTGTAGAATCTGAGTCAAAAGTATTTCTCAGGCATCTTATCTCTGAATATGGGGTAGTTTTAGTTAGACCTTAGCTAATTTGTTTTCCTCACATTTTCCATTTTATATGTATAAAAGATGATACATGATAAAATTTCAAGTCTAAAAGAATTCTTTCAATAAGCAAAAGCAAAAAAAAATTCTAAGGAAACTTTGTCTTAATTTAACATATTTTCTTTATTGCAGGTGTATATAATAGTATATTCAAATATAATACTTAAGTGAACATTAAACTAAGTAAAATGATTAGTGAATGTATTAGTTGAACTATGAGATTAGACTGAAATATTTGGCCAAAAAGTATAGACGGTGCTGTTACTTCTCATCTAATTTTATCCCTTTTTTTATTTGAGGTGAATTCTGCAGTTTTTTCCATGGGTCTTACTTTGTTTGCTCTTCATCAGTACACAGGCACTTTGTGTGTGTGTGTGTGTGGTTTTGTGGTTTGAATTCAGGGCCTCACACTTGCTAGGCAGGTGCTGTACCACAGGGGCCGCTCTGCCAGCCCACACAGGAGCCTTTTGACTCTGGATGGGAATTGGTAGTGGATAGGCTTATGAGCTTAACACAGATCCTAATTATAAATTTTCTTTCACAACTTGCTCTTTACTTGTGTGCCTACGCACAAACCAGGTAGGTGGCAGTGTTCTTGTGATAGACTGTAAGAAACAGACCATGTGATAGAGAAAGATCTGCAAATTTTAGCAAAAAGATACCTTTTCTTACTTTTTTGTATTTGAGTGAATACTCGGGGGGCTGAAGCATCTATTGGACCCACTTAGTAGGGTTGGCTCCTTCCTCAGGCAAATTTCTCCAGGGAAATTTGGGATATGTTATACCACAACAGTAAGAAATTTTATATTTCTACTCAGAACACACAAATAAATAAATAGTATTGAAAATAATCTTTCATAAAACAGTACATCTCAGTGGTTACTTCACAAGTGCTAGTGATAGCTCAGTAGGTGGATTTTACGGTCCTATGTTGAGTTTTAACCCCCATTTAAAAGACACTGTATGTGTATATATGGCCATATATTTATCTTTGTCCTCACATGAATTAATGAGCCATCATAAGTTAGTTGGCTAGTCCCTGCTTTAGTGTTGTGGGAATTCAATATGAACTTGCTTTATCTCATAGGCTGGAGCACTGGATTTGCTGAAAGAACTTAAGAATATTCCCATGACCTTGGAATTACTACAGGTATGTGCTTCTATGTATCAAAATTTTTGAATTGTAAAATACTTAAACATATTCAATACCACTGAGTTTTTTGAACTGTGTGGTTATATAGTATAGATCACTATTCACTTCTATTTTTAAACAAAGATAGCAACATAAATCAGTGATCTCTTGAGTTGCATTATAATAATAAGTTGTCTTTCCTCAAGAAGAATAAAATCTGAATCTCCAAGCTGGCAGTAAAATCTCACTGTGAGACAGTGTTGGACTTGTGGCCCTGACTTTACTTTCTTGGTCTGTCATCAGTGGCTGCTGCCAGCATGAACCTAGCATCAGGGTAGAGATGACCGGTATCACTCTTTTTCCCTTTTTGAACACTAATCAAGTATATGGACATTACATAGAATGATTGCTCAAGTTTTGTTTTAATGTTCATCAAGACTAAAAACATAAAGTAAAACTTTAATAAAAGTCAAAATGTTAAAAAAGGAAAGTAAATATAGTCAGTAACATGAATCTGGCTATTTTCTACTAGACATATCTTATCCACAAGTGTCTTCCTTGATATTTCTGTTTCATTAAGTGAGAATTTAGGAAAGAGTCACCAGAGTATGTGAACATGGTTGGGGAAAAAAGTTATGTATTTATTTTCACTAATACCTAGCTGAAATTGCATTTCTTTCAATTATGAAGGGAGAAAACAGCAGTTGTATTATCACTTATGACTGTATCTAAAAGAAATCACAAATATTTTAGCTTCAGTTAACTTACAGCTGTTGCAGATGTATTTAAACCCAGTTTTGGTCATCATAATGGTTGCTTTTATAGCTTAACTTATGCTAGATCATGTTTTCATAAGGGAGCAGCTACATTACTATATTACATTTTAGTATCTCCAACTACTTCTTTCCCAAGGTTGCTTTGACTGTTTGGGGTCCCTTGCTTTTCCATACTTTAGGATAAGCTTGTCAATTTTTGAACAAAATACAGATAGGATTCTGGTAGCGTTTGCATTGAGTCTGTAATTTAACTTGATCAGCATATTATAGTTTTAACATTTAAATCTTCTAATCGCTAAACATAGGATGTCTTTTCATTTATTTAGGACATCTTAAACTTCTTTCCACAATATTTTATAGTAGCTGTATGTTTCTCATATATATGTGTGTGTGTTTTTTGATATATGTATTTATATAGTAGCTATACTTTTTACCTTAAGTTTTAGTGGATTGGCTGGGGTATAACTAGCATGCACAAAGCCTTGACTTCAATCCCTAGCATTGTAGGAAAGAGGGGGAGGAGGAGGAGTAGGAGGGCGGAGAAAATAACTTCAGATCATCTTGGCAAAAACTCATGAGTGATACGAAGGACATTTTTCAAGTGCTGCACTTACCTTTCCAAGGTGTAGTATCTTTCTAACTGTATATCATGTTCTGTAGAAACATTGGGTCAAGACACCTAAATTCTTTGCTAGTTTTTCACAATGTATAGTTTATCTTTAAAATTTTTATTGGCCATTCGGTCAAGAAAGCTTGTCAACTGCACAATTCTCAGCGCTCTTTGAGTGTGGAACTTTTTTTTTATAGTTTATCTGTTACATTCTGTAAATTGTAGCATACCAGTTTTTGAAACAAACCTGTAGTCTAAATAATTTTTAGAGGAAAATCCAGACTTGATTATCCAAGCTTCCTTATCCTTCCCTCTGTCTACTTTGTTCCATTTTCCCCAGCCTACTCTTTTAATGGCAAAAGAAATGTACCTCAGATCTTTAACATTTTTTTCACTGTACCATAGCAGCCTAATTTCTTCCCATTTTGACTGGACAACCCCTTCCTTAGGTAAACATGTTTATTACAGATAACTATAGTCTCAGAATAGGCTTTCTTAGGTGCTAAGCAAGATAGTCATTGACTTTAGTAATCCAAACATCCTGTGATAATTAAAAAGCAGTCACCTAACAGTATACAGTTTATTCATCTTCTAATATCTCATGCAAGCTCCTCCTAAAATGCCATTTTCTTTGCTTATTCGTATCTTATACTTCAGAACTACATTAGAACTCAAGTTCTTTCCTCCATTCATTTAAAAAAATGAGTTTTCTTCTAGAAAACTTGCTAAGCCCAAACCATTTGGGGTCTTCAAAATTGTGGATTCCCCTTTCATCTTTCTGCTATTGAACTACATCTGCGTTGCTCAGCTTTCCAAGAGATACATAGGGTACTCTAGTCACTACGCACTCAATTCTTGAACAAAACTTCTGTCTTGAATCTTTTTGCTGAGAGCTGAATAATTTAGAAGGAAATCTTTAAGTACCCACTTATTTTTCTACCTCAAAGCTTACTGCAGGAGTTCTCCTTTTTTTTAACCACTAAGAATTTCTTTTGTTGCTTTTTTCTTGACCAAATGTATTGAGAGATTGTCTGTTTACAACCTGGACTTACTAAATAATTTACCATTTTTTAGTTCTCATCCATAATTGAGCTATCATAACTTTGTGTTCTTTGAACACAGTTTGAAAACTGTTGATGAATTGGAATGAGCATGGACTTTGGAGATGGACAAACCTACATTGAAATTCCCAGGCTTGCCAATTAGTAATGACAAAGCTGAGCAAGTTGTTTATTGGTATTTCTAATCTCTTCGTCTTTAAAAATAGGGATAATGACCTCAACTTTGAAGAATTATTAGGAAGATTAATGGATGTGGATACTCCAGGTATTACCGGGGCACATAATACTACCACATGTTAAATTTTATCTATATTTTATGAATTCCATTTTAATATCTGTGATTATATGCCAGTTACAGCACCCCCCCCCCCCCGCAAAAAAATGCCTCTTAAACCTCTTTAGGTGGAATTTTTGTTTGGATAGCTTCATTACAAGTTACAGCAGGTCTCTGTGAAGTGCTCTATATAGAAGGATATAATGAAACAGAGAGGGCCATAATCAGTTATGACTGCATTTCATATTTTATCCTTACTTCTTCCCTGGAAGGACTGATTTTATTTCACTGGTGAATGCCTTATTCCAGTAGAATGTGATATGCTTGCAGAGCTCCATGATGTAGCATTAATGAGCCCAGTGTTTGATCTGAAGATGTATGCACCTTAGGACTATAGTGTTTGTTATTATAAGAATTCAAATGATTGATCTAAAGTAGATACAGGGACCTGAGAAAGAAGAATATATGGGTGGTATGCTAGATTGTTTGAAACAAAATTATTCTGCAAATTTCTTTGTCGTTGCTTTTTATAGTCCACAAGAATTGGAATGTCAGTTAATGCTATCCGCAAGCAGAGTACAGATGAAGAAGTTACATCTTTAGCAAAGTCTCTCATCAAATCCTGGAAAAAGTTATTAGGTATGATTGGTCTTTCCTCATTTATATGTATGCATTCTGGTTTATTCAAATGGTTGTTATGTGTTATTTCAATAAATGTACTGAAATTAGTGCCTTATACTAAAAGTAAGGCGAGTTGGTTTAACATTGAAAGTTTTGCTTTTTAGACTAATAAATTTAGGTTTATTGCTTTCTGACACATTCCTCTGTGGATAAGCTCTCTAAGAAGAATTTTCTTACAAGGGAAAGGTTGCGCTACCTTTTTGAAATGGTTTTCGAAATTATTTTTTAACTTACAGAAAACTTGCAAGAATGATAAAGTGCATTTATTTCCTTATCCAGTTCATAAGTTTTTAAAATTTTTTTTTTTTTTTTTTTTGTGAGTGTAAAGCTAGTTTATTAAAAGTTAGGGAAGAAAAATACAAAGGGGAGTATGGTGTGCCCCAGGTGGAATTTGAAGGGTGAGAGATAAAATTTATTTTTGAATTAATGTACATTCATAATACAAGAGTATTTCCCTGTGATAATTCCATGCATGAGTACGGTGTGCTTTGAACAAGTTCAACCCTCCATTATATTCCCAGTCCCCTACATCCCTAGATCATTAATTTTTGATGTTTGCCGTTTTTGTCTACTCTCTTCTTTTTTAAATCATTTAAGGATAGGTTGAAGATACCATATTCTTACCCTGTAATACTTAAGCATATATTTCTTTAGAACAAGCTTCTTTTTATTTTCTTTTTGTTTTTGAGGTGAGGATCTCACTGTGTTGCTCAAGCTGACTTGGAACTTGTGATTCTCCTGCTATAACCTCCTGAATAGCTGGACTTAATATGTGTGTGCCACCATGACTTGCACAAGCTTTTCTTTTCTTTCTTTTGGTCTGAACTGACATCAAACTGTGATCCTCTTGATCTCAGTTTTACAAGAAGATGGGATTATAGATGTGCACCACCATGCCTGGCCTACACTTTTCAAGTGTTGAATAGACACATCTTGCTAGTAGCTGCGTTATCGGACAGCATAGCATATGAGGGTTTTTTTGTTTTTTTTTTTAAGTTAGCATATTATACTTGTACAGGGAGGATTCATTGTGACATTGCATATGTGTTTACAGTATCTCTTAATCAGATTCACCCCCTCCATTGTTCTCCCTCATACCATTTTCCCCCTTCCTAGAACAATTTCAGCAGGTTTCATTGTCCTATTTTCATACTTACATACAAAATACACCCACTGTATTTGTCTTCCTTTCTCCTTTTGCCTTCACTCCTCCCTCTGGTACCAGTCCTTGGTCAGGACCTGTTTTAACTTCCTGTCCTGCATTATTTTAAATGTATATTGATTGTTCAAGGGGGTTTTGCCTTGGTATTTTTAGACATGTATATATTGTACTTTAATCAGATTAATCCCCTCTATTACTTACTCTTTATCACCTGTTCCCCTGTTATTCAGCAGCTTACTGAGCATTGTGATATATTATTTTCAAATACAGATACAATTTTTTCCATAGTTTTCATTCTCTAGCATTCTCTTTCCCTTTCCCATCTCCCCATAACAAGCTTATTTTTTATACAAACCATAGTATAAGAAATTTAACATTGATACTATACTTTAACTGTACAACCCATGTCCCACGTTTGTCAGTTGCCCCAGTAATGTTCTTTATAGCTTCCCCTCTTGCCCCCTCTAAAAAAATCTGTTACAGAATCACATTTAGTTTCCTAATCTGGAGTAAATTTTAAGTATTTCTTTGTCCTTTATGACATTAACATTTTGAATAATACAAGCACCCTTCCACCCTTGTTTTTATTAGCACATTCCCTCTTTAGGGTTTATATGCTATTCTCTCATGATTAGAGCAGATTGTATATCCACAGTTGGAATACTTGAGTGTATTGTCTCTTTTTCTAGAAAAACTCAGCTAAAGTGTACAATGTATAGTTTATTATTTCTCTCTGGTAACAAGTCACTCTGTGGAACACACTTTAAGACCCTGAAACTGTCTTGCACTTTATCAGATCTAACCCTCACCCAGTCTAGTAGCCATTGATTTCTGCCTAACCCAGTCTTTACAAGTCTTTAAAGTTGTGATATTTCTAACTTTTCACTTCCATATTTACAAAGCATCATTACACTATAAGAAAGTACTCTCATTTTATCCTCAGGTTATTTGTTATTACTATGAATTCATGGTTTCCTATTCTATATGATTGGTTGTAATCCACTATAATTCAGATTTATTTTGGTCTTTACATTGTCCCAGATTTGGCAAGTGGGTCCCTCTTACACTGGCTCCTTTTGGCAAGCCCTCTTCATGTTTTGATCACTTTCTAACATTCTGGAACCAAAAAATGTATTGGGTTCATCTATCTTCCCAGCCCTGAAACCAGACATGTTTAAAAGTAGCTTTCAAACTTATATGCAAGAAAAACAAAACAAGAAAGTGAGCCTTTTAACATTTTAAAGACAACAATAATAACATCAAAAAAGCCTATTACTTACAAAAGCCTAGAAACTAGGAACTAAAAATTTTAAAGCTTATAAATTTAATAAACGTACTCTTGCCATACCCATAATTTTAGCACTCGGGAGACAGAGGCAGTAGGATCCACAGTTCCAGGCCAGCCTGGACTCTATAGTGAGACCCTGTCCCAAATAAGAGAGGAGAGGAGAAGAAAGGAAGATTGGTTTAGATTTTGTGAGAGAGAAGAATGGCTGTTGGATTTATATAGTCTTGAAATTAAAATAAATTTTACTATTAATGTTTATTGGAGTTCAATAAAAATCTTTTCTGTGTTAAAAGATTTGCATATTAGTTACAATTTGGAGAGTTGGAGGAGAAAAAAAAATCTTAAGTGTATCTTTGAATATAACCATCAGGTAATTTCTTGTTGCATTTCTTGTCTTTGTCCCCCGTTTCATAGATTTTGCTTCAACTAACGATAATTTTACTTATGTGTATGCTTATTTATGCTTTTAATGAAAATATTTTGTATTTTTCTACCCTTCATTACTGTCATTTTTATTGTCTTCGGAATAATCCATTCAGTGGCTGTGACATAATTTAGCTAATCACTTACTCTTTGTTAAATTTGTTATGGCTAGGTTTGTTACAATTTTTTTTTTTAAGTTTATGGCTTTTATAACTACCGTCTTGATAAGTCTCTTTCTGCTTAAAGATACTTAGCTCCTTAGCTGAATTTCTGGAAGATTTACTACTATTTCTAGTAGCACATTTTTTAATACTTAAGATAGGCCAATAGCCAGGTGCCAGTGCTGACACGTGTAATCCTAGTTACTTGGAGGTTGAGATCAGGAGGATCAAGGTAAAAGATAGCCTGGGCAAATAACCAGAGTAAAATAGACTGGAGTTGTGGTTCAAGCAATAGAACACCTGCTTTGCAAGTGTGAAGCCCTGAGTTCAAACCCTAGTCCCAAGAAAAAGAAAAAATATGCCAAATATTGACCTATATTGGTACACTTAATCCTCACTACAATCTATTGTGGTAGATAGTATTATGATCCCTGTTTATGCTGAGGTACTGAGCAGCTCAATACCTTGTACATCTGGGGTCAATGGTGAACAGCCAAGCTTGCATCTGCCAGCAGACAGTCTTGAGTCCAGAGCTAGAACACTTCTTTCCTATCAACTGTGCTATATTACCTACAACTTTGTACCAGATGGTAGGAAATTTTTTTCCTGGTGCTGACGATCCGACCTGAGACCAAGTGCAAATGGTAGGCAAGCCATACCCCACATCCCAGTAGGAATGTTTTTGAGGTTTCTCATGCCTCTTGCTGCTCTGCTTTCCGAACCATGTGGGAGATCAGTTTTACTGCACTTTTGGCAGTACTGGGTCCTTGCTAGATGATACCTCATTGTTTTATTACCTTTCCCTTTTAAAATACTTTCTACCCTATTATTTTTGGGCTGTGTCTCAGTCCTTGCTATGTATCCTTATTAGTCGTTGTTTCTGCCTCACCGTTACATGGCATCTTCAAGTTTTGAGGCTTAAAATTAGTATGTGAAAACTGAAGTGTCCACTTGTGTTATATATCACAGAGGGCCTGACTTGTATTTTAGATTTGATAAAGCTAAAGCTTACAAGCTTGTGACATGGACCTTTCTCCAGATGGCACATGGGCCTTCTCATCCAGATGGCATATTAAAATTGTCTTGGGACTTTTAAAAAATCATGATGCTTGTGCCTCACTACCAGCGATCTGTACTGAATGGGTCTGGATTGGAGCTTGGCAGGAGGTTGTGTTAAAAGTGATCTAGGTGATCTTCAAATCTAGTTGAACATATGTTCTGTTTTCTTTACAGAGAGGTATAAAAGTAACCCTCTTTACTTACATAGAGAGCAAAATGTAGATAAGTGGATCATTTCTACAGTAGACCCACTTTCTAAACCTAGCTTCAGGGCAGCTTTGATTGATTGAGACTTGAGTGTTTCATGTCACCTGCTTTATATCTATTCACAATCACTAATTGCTTTCCTCTTTAAGTATTGCAGGTTGTGCACTCTGAGTTGCTTTATAGATTATTTACAATAAAGGAAATGCTGAGTGGGTTTTATCTAATCCTGAGGTATTTTTTGTGAAAATGTTCTTGTTCACTATTTCAGAAATACTTACTTACATTTCAGGTACTAATTAATTGTGTGTGTGTGTGTGTGTGTGTGTGTGTGTGTGTGTATGGCAGTACTAGGGTTTGAACTTACAGCCTTGTGCTCACAGGTGCTCCACCACTTGAGCCGTACTCCCACCCACCCGCCCACCCTTTTTTTTTTCCTTTTTTGCTTTAGTTATTTTTCAGGTAGAGTCTCACTTTTTACCTGGGGCTCTCCTTGGACCAAGATCATCTTACCTGTGCCTCCTGAGTAAAGAGTGACAAGCTCTCACTACCACACCAAACTCTCACTACCACACCAAACTTACTCGTTGAGATGGGGTCTCATTAACCTTTTGCCCTGGGTGGCTTCAAATTGTGGTCTTCCCAATCGCCACCTCCCAAGTAAAATTTTTGACTTCATGAAAAATTACTAAAATAGTATTGCTATATTTGGGCCTTCATTGTGCTTTCATTTTAAAAATGATAGTTCTCATATTTCTTTCATATTCTTTCCTTTTGTTCCTCTTAAAACTTTTAGGTTTTCTTTGGCATGTGAATTTGTAGTTCTTATCACATGACAGAATATATTTAGGAGTGCTAACTCCACTTGTGTTGTGAAAAATACTCAAGTCCATGTGCTAATATATTTGCATACACTTTGTTTTCTTGTTTTCTTGTGGGAAATTGGGGATTCAGCCGGGTTTCTTTTTCTTTTTTCTTTTTTTAGGGGCTAGTTTTTGTTGTGTACGTGAATAGCTTGTTAACGTGCAGTTTTTCAGGCTTCTATTTTTAACATGCAAACTGTGAAGGGATTTCCTACATTTTCAGATGGACCATCAACTGATAAAGACCCTGAAGAAAAGAAAAAAGAATCTGCAATGCCATCACAAAATAGCCCTGAAGCAAGAGAAGAAAGGTATTTCACTTTATCTATCATTTCCTCAATGGTCATCTTTGTTTTGTGGGGTGGAGTTTGATCTCGGGGCCTAGTGCTTGCTATGCTGGTACTCTGTCACTTGAGCTGACAAGAGTCAACTGATTGTGATCTACACTCCTTTTTCTCTTTTCCAAGCAAATGGAACTAGTAAGTGTACATAGCCAACTATTCTGAGGTTTTTAGCAAGATTTCCTGGAACTTTAGAAGAAAAGTAACAGACTACATAAATAAAAAGAAATTATCCACATTGTGTCCAGTAAATGTAAGTTGTTTTAATGTGATTCTTGTGATTGGCACTTATGGGATTAATAATGAAGGTACAGATTAGAGAATCAAATGGCTTCTTCTCTGTTTATCAAATTTCTTTTTTAGGTTTATTTTAGCCCTGGATCTCATTCATATTCATTTTCTCTCTCTCTCTCTCTCTCTCTCTCTCTCTCTCTCTCTCTCTCTCTCTCTCTTTTTTTTTTTTGGTGGTCCTGAAAAAAAATCAGGGCTTTTGAAATCATGGCTTTGATGCACGGATGACACGCGCAGGAATTTCAGATGCTCAGGGTTCTTGAGCCTGCTCTGAGAATGAAAGCACAAGCAGACTCCAACAGCAGAGGTCGGAAAGATTTTATTTGTAGAGAATTTAGTTGGAGAAAAGAGAAGAGAAAGACTGCATATGGAGAATGCAGGGGGACCCGGAAACCGGTGATCCCAAGGGTCAGGGTGGGGAGTGGGTTTTATAGCCTAGTTTGCGTTGCCTGAGGGTGGAGATGCCTTTCAAATGCAAACAGGCATTTCTTAGGGAGGAGAAGTGTCTCCTTGACCACTTATCGCCCTTTTGGGGACTTCCCCCAGTCTGTCCTTCAGTCCTTCAGCTTTGCACTTGCTAGGTAGGCTCTCTACCACTTGAGCCACACCCCCAGCCCTTTTTTTGCTCTGGTGGAGATAGGGTCTTGTTTTCTGCCTAAGCTGGCCTGGACCACAGTCCTACTATTTTATGCTTCTTGCTGCCACTGAGATGATAGCTGTATGCCGCTGTGCTCAGCTATTGGTTGAGATGGAGTCTCGTGAACTGTTTGACCAGGCTGGCCTCAAACAGTGATCCTTCAGATCTCAACCTCCCAAGTGGCTAGGATTACCTTTGTAAGCCACCAGCACCTGGCTCATTCTCCTTTTTGTGCTATTTTATTTTTTATTTCCAAATTTTGCCATTTCTGATAGAAGATTAAAATGTGAAATTCAGTCACAGTGGGTTTAAATTGCTCCTCAGCCCCTATGAGGTCTTTGGGTTCTTTCTTTGGTATCATATACCACAAACTGTGCAGCACACAACATACTGCCATAATAAGTGATCTATGTAATTGATTAAATATGAATAGCTCTTGGTTCCTGGGAAGCTTATAGTTTACCAGCTGACACTGACATAGAACACTGGTTCTCCTAGAAGAGAAGGAAGCCTGTCAACTTGTTAGAAATGGAAATACTTGGGCCTCACCCTGGAACTACTGAATTGGGAATTCTGGCGCTGGCCCAGAATTCTGTTTCTGACAAGCTCTTCAGATATTCTGAGGAACCCAGCATTTAGAAACTCTGGTTAAAGTAGTGGCTTCCAAACTGTCTGTCATAAACTTTGTGGGTGTGTGTAGTGGGGAGATTTAACTCAGGGCCTTGCAAATACTCTGATATTTGAGCCACACCTGCAGCCCTTTTTGCTTTTGTTCTTTTTCAGATAGGGTCTTGTGCTCCTCCTGCCTCTCACCTCCCAAGTAGCTGAGATTATAGGCATATAGTACCACACTCAGGTGGCCACGAACTTTTGACTATTGTGTAATCCACTTAACGCCTTAGGACATTGAGGCTATTATTTATTTTAGCTTTTTTTCCTGGGTTTTCTGAAAATTGACCATAGTTTTCCTAACTTTTAAATAACATGAATATCCCATACACTGCTATTTTATGTAGTAGTACTAACTATACTTTATATAAGAGGTAAGCCAAAGGATAGGACTAAGCAGCAGTTGTTAATAAAATTTATACAGTTTATTTCTTCTAGCTTTTTATTTTGAAATAATTTTAGACTTGTAGGAAATTGCAGTAAAAAAAAGACTGTGAGTGTTTAACCAAATATGTATACACATGAATTAATTTTATTTCGAATCAAATGAGTGCTCTATAGATTTTATCCCCTTTATGCCCCTAAATATATTAAGATGTGTTGTCTAAGAGCAAGTACTTTTTTTTTTTTCCAGAACTGAGATTTGAACTCAGGGCCTACACCTTGAGCCACCCCACCAGTCCTTTTTTGTGAAGGGGTTTTTTTGAGACAGGGTCCCAAAAATAGAAACATAAAGTGTAGGCATATAAATAGATGTTGAAGAAAGAATAAATTCTTGGTATATTTTGTCCATTTTATGTACTTGAAGTTTAAACACAGCCTATCTGCAAAAGCATAGAATTATTTTGTATGAAATCTAATAAAGTAAGTCGTCAGTTTCTATCTGTGCACACAAGGAAATAAAAGACTGGAGAAATAAGTCTGAGGCATTAATGTAAAAGAAAATGTAAAATTAAATCTAAAGTTATTTGTAGCTGAGGAGAATTTTTATATTTTGAGTGTAAAATTTGAGAAAATTGTGCTTAAATGGTTAGAAAGAGGCACCAGAACTAAAGAGGTGGGGCCAGAAATGGACTTGTTGAGGAAAGACTCCATCAGTTAGTTTCCAATGGTTGGGCTAGGCATTTGGCTACAGGAAGAAACGCAAAAGCATTTGATTAAAGTATTTAAGAAATGGACTTTTAAAACATTGATTTGTTCATTTATTTATTGCTGACAGGTTTAACAGTGGTTTTGGAGAAATGGCAAGGGGTAAAATAGACAAGACCCTTGATGTCTCCAGGTATATACTCCCAAGGAGACTGCCATTCAGGAAAAACCATGAAGATCAGAGTTCAGTGCTGTACTGTAATGCTTGATTCATTTTTTCATAATGCCACTCAGCTTCCATTAAAGAACATACAGCTTTTCAACAAATCTCAGAATTTCAGTTTATCATTTTTATCTTGCTTTGGTGACACAGTTTGCTTTTTGAAGGGCATGTTTTCATAAAATTAAGGGCAGGGAAATACTCCGTAGGTCACACAATGACTTTAAACACAACTAATGATAAAATGGAATTGACTGAGAATTTGCCCAAATCATCTGAGCTGTAGAATGTGCACTTGGGAATTTAAAATTTTTGTTTTCTCTTGATTTTTTTAAATATATTGAATTTTTTAACTGAATTTGGTCAAAACCACGTGTATATAAATGCACAAACAAGGTGGGCTTACTGTATATCATTGCAGCAAAAGCGGCAAGTGAGATCTGTGAAAGTGGGACAGTTTAATCAGTCTTTGCTGATATTTATGGCAATTATCTTTAATGCTATAAAACTTAATTGGAACTAGTCAGAAGGAAAGAAGCTATTGGTAACCAAGTCCAATATAAGAAGTTAATCAGAAGCAATTGAAATGATTAGGTTGACTGAAAAGTTATTAAACTTTTCAGATGGAATTGATATTTCTGGGAAGAGATTGAGACCCTTTTTTATAGTCTCGACTTCTCAGTACACCTTGCCTTTGTTTTGAAGAGAGTGGTGTCTCGTTAGAGCCCCACTGTCTGTAATAACGTTTTCCAAACATTTCTTTTTTCCTCCCTTTAGTTTGATTGCAAGTTGCTACATTCTCTGGTCCCATCCCTTCACCCTTTCTTCAAATCAAGATCGTTGCTTTTTATGTACTATACTGAACTATGATGTGCATTTTCTCTATAAAAATATCTAATGCTTAAAGGGCAGTCAAGGTAAAATAATTGGCATTTTAAAAACAGACATGAGATTTGTCTCTTTATTAAATTTTTAAAATCCTAACTTTTTAATCTACATGCAAGCAACTTTTTTCTGTTTTGTAAGACTCACTAAAATACTGTCATTTATGTAAATCAAAAACTTTTGTTTTCAGAGAGTGATGGTAATATTATCTTAAGAGGGTTTTTCCTGATTTCTTTTTGGTGTGTGTGTATATATGTATGTGTATTTTAGTAGTTCCAGTGGCAACGTAAGCAGCAGAAAGGATGAGACAAATGCTCGAGATACTTATGTTTCGTCTTTTCCTCGGGCACCAAGCACTTCTGATTCTGTGCGGTTAAAGTGTAGGGAGATGCTTGCCGCAGCTCTCCGAACGGGAGGTAAGTTTAGGGTATATTGTTTGCTTCTCAGCCCTTTCATCACCACCACAACCACTGCCATCTCCACCTTCACACTGGTGTTTTACAAACTTCATCCTATTGATAGTAGCCCACCTCTGCTTAGCTCAGAAAGAAGTTACTGCTGGTAATGATCCCTGAAGAGTGAGAGAAAGGAGAGCCTTGATAATCCTAAAAAATAGATTCCTTCTAATGTATGGATATTTTTCCCGATTCATAGTAATCTTTCCCCCACAAATCTTTCATTCCCTTGCATTTAGTCTGCACACCAAATGTTCCACCCTTCAACTGAGTTAACGATACTGAGTTACTAAGTGTTAGTATGATATATAGTATATAAGTTTTGTATTCATAATTCCATTCTCTGGTTTTTTGCTTTTAATTTGAAAAGGCAATCTTGATAAATATAGATACACGTATAAATACGGGAACAAAAAAGAAAAAGTTTCATATACAGGAATATTTGTTATCTTATTCACATTCATCCTTTTTCCTTTCTATTGTGAACCATAGCCAATTTGATCAATTTTCTTCTCACTCTGCCCTTTCTATCTTAATTTTCTTACTGTCTCTTTATATATTTTTTTTCTTTTTTCTTCCTAGTTCTGTTTATTTCCTTCTATCCTTTTGAATATTCGTATAGGAGTCTTCTGAGTGTGTCCATATATGTGATTGGCAGATGAAGCGAGTGGTTACTTTGCATTGAAGCCTGAGTCACAGGAGACAAGACAGTTCTTTCTATAACTATCTCTACTCTCTGCTGGAACAACCAAAATTTATGGAGTTGTGAAATGAGGAATTGTCTGCTAGATGAATTACTTCCCCACTCCTGAGGGAAAAGGAGGCATCAATGCAGGAGCACTGTGGATATTAGGTGAATCCAGAGGAGGAGTCTAGTGGGTAGGAAGAGACCAGATTCTAATGAAGCTAAACTAAAAAGACTCTTCATATGAGGCCAATGGGGTTGAAGGAGTAGGAATGCTTTACTTACCCTGTACTGGAATTATCTTTTAACATGTTACCATAACTTGATAATTCTTTGTGCCTGTTATAGATGACTACGTTGCTATTGGAGCTGATGAGGAAGAACTGGGATCTCAGATTGAGGAAGATATCCTTTACATGCATGTTCATAATTGTTTAAAGTAATTTGCTAGGTTAACTGTAAGTTTTCCTTCTGGCATGTAATTCAAAGGTATATTCTGATTTTGGTTTGTTTGTTTGGGGGGGGCGGTGTAGGTGGTCCTAGGGTTTGAACTCAGGAGCTTGTGCTTCCTAGGTGGGTGTTACACTACTTAAGTCACTTCCTCAACTGTTTTTGCTTTAGGTTTTTCATTTGTTTTTAAATAGTCTTTATGTTTATGCCCAGGCCAGCCTGGTGCATGATCCTTCTCACTTTCCACTAGCTGTGATGACAACGACAGACACACAGCACCAAGCCCAGTTTTTTATTGGTTGAGATGGGGTCTTGTGAGCTTTTTCTCCATGCCAGCCTCAAACTGTGATCCTCCCTATTTCTGCTATAAAGTGCATATATGAGCTACCGCCCAACACACCATCCCTTGGCTTATTCTTCAGTTTCTTTATTATATTGTTTTGATTATAAAGAAGAAGGGGCATTCGTGTTAGTTTATTCTACTTGTTTTTCCTGCTATTCAAAAATAAAACACATAGTGTTAATGACACTTTTTTTTTTCTGCCTTGAAAATTGAGAATGTAGAATCTGAATTTAAGTGTACAAAGAGCAGGAAAACTCACACAAACTGTGAAGGTTTCTCATTGGGAGGATCTCAGCAGAGCATGCACAATCCCTGAGCTTATTATCCTAAAGGGAAATCTGTTCATTCTGGGCACATGGAAAGGGCCCTGGGAGAAGGATTTTGTATGTGGTCAGGAGAGCTAAGTGACAGTGTGACATGGGACTGGACTCTCCTTGCTGAGGAAATGATCTTGTTAGAAAGGGAGCTTCTTTAGGGCTTAGCGTCTGCTGTGGCCTGGCCTTTTGGGGAGAAGAAACTGCTAAACTAGCTTCCTGACAGGTTGGAAGAGGAGGTGTATCTCCAGGCCACCGTGAATGGTCTCTTAGAATACACTAAGGGAACTGTGACCATAACCCTTGAAACTTAGAATCCTTAGTAGGATTCAGATTTGGCAAGCTAAAGCTTATGTAAGTTCAAGCTCCTTTTAAAAAAATTGCTCACTTGGATTGAATACATGAGTTATTTTTTGAAACCCTGTTGATTTGCATGCTGTTGACAGTAAGCATTAAGAAAAAAGCATAACTCATCCACAGTGTAAAAGTACTAACATTTATATTTGGCAGTTACAGATCAAGGACTTAGAACCAGTGTCTTCTCTCTCTTTTTTTTTTTTTTGTGGTACTGTGGTTTGAACTCAGGACTATACCTTAAGCCATTCTACCAGTCCTTTTTTGATGATGGATTTTTTTTGAGATAGTCTCACGAACTATCTGCCTGGGCTGGCTTCAAACTGCTGTCCTCCTGGTGTCTTGTCTCCTTAGTAGCTAGGATTATAAGTATGAGACACCACCAGCACCTGGCCCAGTGTCTTGTTTTTAATTTAAGCGAAATTGGAAACAGGTTTTGTGAACTGCTTGGAAATATCAGGAATTCTTATTTTGGCAGAACAGAAAAAAAAAGTATTCTTAACTTTTTAATGTAATCTTTTTCCTTAACAACCAAGCACCTATATATCAAGAGATAAGGAATACAGACATGAAATACAAAAATAGAGTAAGAAGTAGGATATCAAATCTTAAAGATGCAAAGAATCCAAATTTAAGGAAAAATGTGCTGTGTGGAAATATTCCTCCTGACTTGTTTGCTAGAATGACAGCAGAGGTGAGCATACCTATATGCAAAGTTTCTGTGATGTGATTCCATGATATCAAGTGTGAGTTCTGTTTAAATGATGAAGTACTATATAAATATTGACTTTGTAACATTGTTGTTAGCTGTTCTCATATATTTATGTGTAATATACTACACAGGCATTTAAGTTTATTTAATCTCTTGACATTAATAACTGTTATACTCTTTGGATGATACATTAAATCATCTGAAACCAGAAGTGTCTTCTTATGAATTAATTAATATAGAATCATGAGTCTCTGATTGCAAATTGACTTTCTACCCTCTAAGCCCATTTTCATGGTTAAATACTGTTAAATTGGTCATATTATTTCTTAAATTTGTGTAAGGAGTGTTTCTACATAGCTAGTGAAAATTGCTATAGTTAAAAAATTTGTTTAATAAAATCTCATTAATTTAGCAAAGCAGAGAACACAATGTAATGAGATTTCATGTATCCATCACCCAAGCTTCAAGTAGTTTTGAGAATTTGTTATCCTTATTAACTATATATTCTTAAAACTTTACATGCTGGTTTTACCTTTATTATTATAAGCTAAATGAACATGAAAACATTTAGGATTTAGAATACATACATAGCAGGTATCTAACTGAATAGTATTGCTACTTCCCTCATAGGAAATGGCTAGTGATGAGCTCAAAGAGATGAGGAAAAACTTAACCAAAGAAGCTATCAGAGAGCATCAGATGGCCAAGACTGGTGGAACTCAGACTGACTTATTCACGTGTGGCAAATGTAAAAAGAAGAATTGTACTTACACACAGGTCGGTGATTTTAGATTCTTACTTTCATATTAAGAATGCTTGTGATTTTTTTTTTTTTTTTTATGAGACTGGGGTTTGAACTCAACTTTGTGCTCTCAAAGCAGGTGCTCTACCACTTGAGCCTCACCTCTGGTCCATTTTATTCTGGTTATTTTAGAGATGGGATTTCTCAAACTATTTGCCAAGCCTGGCCTTGAACCTTGATCCTCCCAAGTAGCTAGGATTACACATGTGAGCCACTGGAGCCCAGCTAAGAGTGCTTTCAATTCTTGTCTTAGAACAAGTAACGAAGATAATTATCAGTAGTACTTTGATAGTTTTTAAGAGGAGATGTGATCTATTAAGTGAAAGAATACTTTCTCAATACTGATACAAGTTAATTGAAAATAAGTTTATATATTTAAACCTTCATGGAAATAGTGGAAATAATTACTGTAAAAAGCATATAAGTCAAATATAATTGAAAAAAAATAGGATGTAATAAAATGACCATGTTGTTTTTTAATAGCTTGCATGCTTTTGATTACTGATTTCTGTGTAAACAAGCCATAATTTTTTTAGTTTGCAGAACTATATAATGTAAGGAAAGTTCTTCATTCTCCCTCAAGTGGCATGTGGATACTTCACTCTTAACTGGCTTCCAGATATCTGTTCCTTTTTGTAACATATTAATGACTTTTACGTTCCCATATGATGTCATTGACCTCTTTATTCTTTTTACTTTATTTTATTTTTTGGTGGAATTGGAGTTTGAACTCAAGACTTCAAGCTTGTGTTCTGCTGCTTGAGCCATACCTCCAGTCCATTTTGCTCTGGTTATTTTAAAGATGGGGACTCTCGAACTGATTCCCAGGCTGGCTTTGAATTGAGATCCTCCCCATCTCAGCCTCCCTAGTAGCTAGGATTATAGGCAGGAGCCATTGGCACCCAGCTGACCTTTTTGTTCTTGAACAATGAAAAAACAACCACATTACAGTTTTTTTGGCTTTATGTATCTGTGAAAATGATTTATCACCATCTTAATTTCATTTGATAAATTTTTTTTTGTACTATAGGTATAATCTGCTCAACTAAAAATTTTTCCCTTAAAGATCATAATATATTTCAGATCATAGAGTTAGGAATTGAATTACCTCAGTGACAAGAACATTAAGCACTTAAAAATATATCATCAAACTCTATATAAAGTTGTAGAAAGGATCCATTGCTTTAAAATATATTTTTGAAAGTTAAAAATTCAAGAGATACAAAAGATTATGATGGAAAGTTCCCCTTCTCACTTTTGCCTATAGCTACCTTGTTCCCCCTCTCTGGAGGTAAACTAGAGTTACTAGTTTGTTATGTAGAATTCTACATATTTTATCCATTTTTGCAAATACCAGTATAATTTGTTTTTTGTTTTCTAAACATATATGATAGAATAGTATGAGCTTCTGAGCTTTTTTTATATTTTACAAGCATATTGTACTTCCTTTTCAAATGTACTTGATGTAACCAGTGTAAAGCCCTTTACTTTTTTGGAAGTCTGTCTTTCTGTTTTCTCATTTGGCAGGCACAAGGCCTTGCATAGGTCAAGCAAATGCTCTACCACTGAGCTGCATCCTCCCCTCAAGCTGCCTTTGAACTCACCATATAGCCCAAACTGACCTTTAACTGGAGTTCCTCCTGCTTTTGTACCTAAGTGCTGGGGTTATAGGTGTGCCTGGTCACCATTTTCCTCTTAATTGTTAAAAACCCCTTTGTAAATATCTTAATATTCCATCAGATGGATTTACTCTTAGTTCCTTGTTGGATAATTAAGTTGTTTCCAGTACTGTACTATTATAAAATTATACTCTTCAAAGATCCTTATTCACAAATCTTTGTGTTTTAATTACCATTTTAGAATAAATATATTCAAAGATGTTTCTAGTTTACAGAGAATGTGTATTTAAGGGTTTTACCATATTAGCCTAACTCTTAGAAAGGTTATGGCAACTCTATACATCAGAACGAAATATTCTTAATTTTGTTTCGTGTTTGCTAATTTGTAAGAGAATATTAACATGTTAAATTTGTATATTTTGGCTGACAGAGTAGCTCAAGTGGTAGAGTGCCTGCCTAACAAGCGCGATAGCATAGTTCAAGTGTCAGTACAGCCAAAAACAATTATATATTTCTACGTGTTACTGATGAATTTTTGTCTTATTTATTAGCCATTTATAGTTTAAGCATAGTTTTAGCTGGGTGCCGGAGGCTTATGCCTATAATCTTAGTTACTTGAGAGGCTAATATCAGGAGGATCTCAATTTAAGGCCAGCCAGCATAAAAAGTTTTCGTGACCCTATCTCAACCAATAACTGGGTGCAGTGGTGTGTACCTGTCATCTTAGCCATGCAGGAAAGTGTAAAATGGGAGGATCAAACTGGCCCATGAGACCCTATCTCAAAAAATTACCAGAGCAAAAAGGGCTGGAAGTGTTGCTCAAGTGGTAGAGCATCTCCTTGCAAGTGCAAAATTCTGAGTTCAACCCCAGTCCCGCCAATGTAATGGGTGACTTCAGAGGATTTTCCAGTCTATCTGAGAGATGCATTCCACATGAAAAATCAAGAAGGATTTGGATAAATGAATCTTGCTCTTTTGATATTATTTACTTTATTTGAACTTGTTTCATTTGTGGGTGTTACATATGTTTATGTAGAATGTTCTTATGTAGGTTGGGTTTTTTTATGGTACTCAAAAAGTAACATTTTCACTTGGTTTTGCTATAGGTACAAACTCGTAGTGCTGATGAACCAATGACAACCTTTGTTGTCTGTAACGAATGTGGAAATCGCTGGAAGGTAGGTGCCATCTTGAAGTCATATCGTACTCATTTATAATAGAATAATTTCTTCTGGTTTTCTGTAAGTCTGCCTAGATAATTAAGTTATGCCCATATGCTCATAGTATCTGGCACTCTGGAAGTCTCCGATTAGCTACGTGTAATGGAATATACTATTTTATACCCTACTCTAGATGCAATTAGCTTGATTTTACCACCTTATGTTTATATTTTGATGCTGGCATAGCAGGAGAAAATCTTAGATGTTTAGTTACCATAATTCAGTCCTATACTATTGTCATTAGTTTATTTTCAGCCTTACACTTTTTTGTTTTAATAGCTTTTGATTTTTTTTTCCCCTGGAGATACTGTGATTTGAACTTAGGATATAACACTTGCTAGGTATGCATTCTACGACTTAAGCCATGTTTCCAGCCCTTTTTGTTTTAGCAATTTTTTGAGTAGGGTCTAGAGTTTTTGCCCTGGCCAGCCTTGGACAACAATTGTCTTGCCTAGCTGGAATCATAGGTGTATACCATCACACCTAGCTTTTGGTTGAGATGGGAGTCTCACTAACTTTTTTTTTTTTGCCCAGGCTGACCTCGAATAGCTATCCTTCCAATCTCTGCCTCCCAAGTAGCTGAGATTATAGGCATTGGCAACCACACCTAGCAAATAATTCATTCTTGAGTGATTTGGAGAGGTACAAAAAACAAAATTTAAAATTACAGGATTGTATATCACTCCCAAGAACACTGTCACTATTAGTGTAGGTGGCTATGTTAAGAGTGTGGGGCTGGGGCGCCATGTTAGGAATCAGTCTTTGGAGTCAGCACTGGCTTGTTTCCTTTTCAGTTGCCATTACTGAGTTTAATTTCCTCGTGGGTAATAACCTATATTGCAGGTTGTGATGAGGAGTACTGAGTATATTTAAAGTGCCTATTACTGTTCCAGAAATGCTGACCATTTTTACCAGTTTTGTAAAGCTTACAAAAGATTTTTTTTTCTGTTATACTTACAGACTGTTCAGTTTGAATTGTTCGTATAGCTTAAAGTATTTTGTGAAAATCTAAAGTGAATTGGAATCCAGATAACTTCCACAAATAATAATTTGGGTCTTTGGTCCCAGACACTATTTAATTGTTAAATCCAGTACCTGTTTTATTATACACAAACATTTAGTTCTGAGCTGCAAAGGTTACTGAAAGTGTCTTCACAGTTTGAAACAAGTTGCCAGAAGTTTTTTTATTGATTTAAGAGAGGGACATTCACCTTTTTTATGTTTTTTCAATCCTGTTGAGCAAAGGTGGCTTGTAAAGGTAATTGGCTCAGATTTGGTGTGCATGTTGGGTCATTTTGTTGTTACCATGTATACCTACAGTGCAGCTTGTTTTGGATACAGGTAGTTCACAGCACGAGTTCTGATACAGCACCTGGTGAATTTAAGACAGTTATAATGTTGTTAAACTTTTTAATCTAAAAACATTAAGAAGAGAGGTACTTAATACAAATACTAAAAATGTTTTTATATCTGTTCTTTATATGTTCCCACTAATTCTAAGTTGGAAAATTCAACAGCTAAGATGGGTGACTACTGTGTGTAAAAAAATAGCACTGTTTTCAAAAATACCTTTTTTTATTAAAAAAACGTGTCAGGTGTATGCTATATAAATGGTATATACACCTTATTGTTTGTATTTAAAAGTCTCACAAAATATTTCTTCTTTTTTTTTTCCACAGTTCTGTTGAGTTAGAAGAATTGGCAAAATAAGCTGGACCATTAAGAAAATGGATTTTGTAATTAGCTTTAAAACTAGGCCAACCAACTAGTTTTCCTGCAATTCGGATTTTTAAAGCAACATACATGCCACGACTTAGTCTTTGTTTTTGACCTGACATCCTTGCCTTCAATGCCTTCTGTAGTTTCAGATTAGTAGGGAAACCATATAGTAATTATGTGGTTTCAAAATTTTTTTTTCATTTTTATAAGTAAGTTGACACTAAATTTTTATCAACTAAACTTTTGGCAATTTGTTTTTAATTTTTTCTTCTTAAAGGAAATGTTAACTTTTTTACAATCAAACATATACAGAAATTCTGTTAATACATAAATAAAAATTACTTTTTTTCATATAGGCATTACCTATAAGAAGGAAAGGTAATAAAATTTTAGATTTACCAAATCTAACAATACTTGACCAGCTTATCAAAATTGTACACAATATTTGGACTAGTATATGAATTTGAATTTACTTATTATGTTCACATGCCTGGGATAATTAGGTATCTCTTCGCTTTGAAACTAACCGTGATCATCATTTCTTGTATTTCTTATACATGTATATTACTTGTTATTAATAGATTTTACTTTGGAAACATGACTTGACTTTGTTGAAATCAGTTTGACTTTGTTGTTTATTTGCCTGTTTGATTTTGCAGTGTATTTTAGTTTTGTAGAAGAACGGCATTCTATTTTAGTAGGCTTTTCATACATTGTCCTCATAGGCAAAAAACGAAAGCTTCAAATGATTTTTTTCCCTCATAGAAAGACATACTGGGAAGAAAATGTTAGCATCTTAGTATAGTATCATGATTGTAAACAATTCATGACTTGATTTTTGACTTGGAAATCTATACTGAACAATAGCGGTTGATAGAATACATTTTTATCCTGAGTTTTTCATGCTGACTTTCTGTTACATGATGAATGAGATTGTTGAACCAACTGGAAACATGGCTATAGCAAGTGATCTAACAGTGCAGATCTTACAATTAAGTTCTACTTTTTTTTTAAGTGTGTACCATTTGTTCTGTTAAGAATAAGAAGTGGTTTTCACATGCTTCCTTGGTACAGTTGCTTTAGCACTGCTGAAAGGCCATCATTGCAAAGTCTACAGTTCATCACGTTGAGTCTTCATCATTTCAGACAGCTAAAGAAAAACCTCCATACGTGCTTTGCACTGTCCTTTGCTCCCCTTCCTATTTCTTACTGCTAATCATTTTTGACATAAAACAGAAAACAGCATTTAAATGTCCATGTTAAGGATTAGTCCATGGGTGCTAACCTACTCATACTTTGCCAGTTTGTTCTGTCATTTCAAAAATAAAGTACAGTTTTAAAAGAATGAGTTTAAGAATAATAAAGTTAAAATAGTCCCACTTCTAAATTAAGTGATCCTTTTAAAATTTGTACTTCAATAAAGCTTTTTGTTGTTCTTATGCATGTATCACACTGTCATTTTATTTAGATGTGAAGCCTGGACTTAATTAAGTAAAACTAGTATTAAGCAGTAGTTAAGAGCATGTTTTTCTTTCGTTTGCCTGGAGCCCTGGTGATGGAGAGAAGCAGTGGTTCCCAAAAGACACTTGAGTACATCCTTTCTGTGCATGTAAAGGTATATGTACGTCTTACTATTAAAAATACTGGACAGTTATAAATTAATAAGTAAATTTTAGCTAGGATAATATTTTATAATAATTCTATTTTGTCTAGGACAAAATAAGGTAGACATATAGTGACAAATAATGAAGAACTATACTTGAAAATCAGAAAGTGACAACCTTGGTGTTTCTCTCCCTCTCTCTCTTTTTCTCTTTATCACTCATTGTTACCTTTGTTTCAGTACTGGGCTTGAACCCAGGGGGTCTCATGTATGCTACGTAAGTGCTCTACCACTTTGAGCCATGCCCTTTGCCAGCCCTTTTGTATGTATTTCGTTTTTGAGATAGAATAACACCAATCTTGCACCACCTGGACTTGAACTCTGGAGGTCCTCCTGCCTCTGCCTCCATAACCTTTGTTATCTTGCTCACCAGAGTGCTGATGAGCATTGTTTTCACTTTTCCAAATAAAAACTACAGTTAAAGAGTTTTCATTTAAGGAATTTTAATCAGTCCCCACCTACTGCCTTTATTAGTTACAGAAAAGTAGCCATTCAAGAGGAATTGAATGGGAAATGTGGTGAGTGTACTCATTGACAGGAAATTACCAGCAAAAGCTGTATACCAAGGAGTAAGCAGAGTACTAACCCCAAAGGTGCCACTTCATAAGAAATAGTCTTTCTGGCAGAGTCTTATGTAATAATGGAAGAATTAGGTTGAATAACCTTTAAGTAAATTCAAGTCAGTCAAACGTAATAGAGAAGTGTATTAGAAAAAAATCTCATAACTATGGCTATGTTAGATAAGCAATAGCTATAACTTGGTAAAGGTAGACTCAGTAAGTCCTTGTGGAAAATTTGTGCATTGTTGTATCTTTAACACCTAGAAGAATGGCTGTTACATAGTAGATGCTCCAGAAATAGTCCTTCTTGGTTATGTTTTTGTCAGTGCATTGCATTTGTTCTTGGATGTATAGAAATTAGGATGGAAAGAACGTTTCATGGATTGGGGAACCTGGTAAAATGAATAGCTATATAACTACTCACTGTTTTAGAGTTCAACTTTAAAGGAAGAAAGGAGCTAGCATCTTGGGACATGATCCCTTTTGGTGCTTTAATTCCACAAAGTGATGTAACTGTTACTGCATTTTTTCTTCAAATCAGTCTGTGTACTCTTGTGCTTGGTTGTCCATCTAGAGAATGGGAACTAACTCAAAGGATTCACTATTTTCTGGTTCCTCTTCCTGGATACTACATAAAGACAGCTAATTACTATTATTTTTTTCTTAATGGCTATGACTAAAAAGATAAAAATATTTCATATGTGGTATCATGGTTAATGTAGCCCACATGTTTCCATAATTGGATGACTGAATTACTTTACAAAAAAAGTTACTTGGTTAATAATGCAAGTGTGAAAGTATAGCTGGCATTAAAAAAAAACAAAACGCAAACAGCATTTGATCACTGGAGTTGGAATTACATAGCAATAGCTTTCTCTCCTCAGCACTACTTCCTAAAACTCTGATTCACTTAAGGGACACCCTCCTCTATATGACCCGTACAGCTCCATTCACAGTATTCTATCCACCCCACATGCTTCCTATAGTTTACTATCTGAATGATGCTAGCTAAGCCAGCCTGAGCTGCACCTGGGGTCCCTGCCTGCTTTCACAAAGACCCTTTGAGTAATGAAACCAAGGGGAGTTCAGGTGGAGGAAGAACTGGCCTGATGCAGTGCTGTGGGAATGAGCATTTACTGTGGACTCTCTGCTTAGGAAAGCAAATTGGTTTCTGTTGTGATTAGGCCAATTTGACATAGGTTTCTATCACAAGAAATTGAAAATTGTTTTGGGTGCAAATATGAGTTAAATGAACATTTTTTTCCCTCTTGCAGTACTGGGGTTTGAACTCAGAGTCTCACTCTTACTAGGCAGGCACTCTACCACTTGAGCCACTCCACCTGCCCGTTTTTTGTGAGGGGTTTTTTTGAGATAAGGTCTTGTAGAACTATTTGCCTAGGCTAACTTTGAACTGAGATCCCCCTGATTTCTGCCTCCTGAGTAGCTAGGATTACAGGAGTGAGCCATGGGCACACAGCAAAATGAACTTTTTGATATCAGCATATTAGAAGCTGTGAGGGCACTGCTAAGATTTCCAGTTAATCTGCCAAACAGAAGATGTCTGGAGGAGGGTTAAAGTTTCTGTTAAGGCTCCAGGTCACTTTTTTAATTTTTTTCTTTTGATGGTACTGAGGTTTGAACTCATAGCTTCACACTTACCAGGCAAGCACTCTATGGCTTGAGCCACTCCACTGGCCCCTCCAGGTCACTTTCAAACTCAGGATTCTATTGCTGATCTGTCCATCTTTTTAAAAACTTTTTTCATTATAGTAAGAAAGATAACACGATATCTATTCACTTAACAAAATAATAGTACAGCATTGCTATAACTGTAGGCACAGTGTTGTACAGAAGATCTCTAGAGCTTACTCATCTTGCATACCTGGAACTTCCCATTTTGAATAACTCCCTCTTTCTCCCCTCCAGCCCCTGGCAACCAACATTTTACTTTATTCTTTGCTTTTGTTTGAGTATTTTAGATCCCCCCACTCCTGGTCATACATCATTGGTGAAAGTAAAGCATAGGGGAGCATCTGGATTCAATCAGGTAGGAATGTGTAATCTCTCAAACCAAGACACCACAGATAGGGACAGTGACTATCCTTCCTAATATGTCATCCACTTTGCATATATTAGACATTGTCCATTGCTATATATATATATTATATATAACATATATATATATATATATATATATCTCTCCTGTGTCTTATTTCACTTAACATAATATCCTTAAATTCCATCCTTCATGGTCCACCAATCCTATCCTGTATGGCATGATTTCCTTTTGTTTGGATGAATAATATCCCATCATGTATATATACCACAATTTCTTTATCCCTTGATCCATTGGTCCATATTGAGATTGTTTTCACATCTTGGCTGTTAGGATAATGCTGCAGTACATGGGAGTTTGTATTTCTCCTTGAGATGCTGATTTTATTTTATTTTTGGGAAATAAATTACTGCGTGATACAGTGATTTTGTTTTTAATTTTTAGGGGGGAATTTTCATGTTATTTTTCAAAATGGCTACACCATTTATATACCCACCAAT